AATAGGATACAGACATAACATCATTACTGTGTGTATGTGTATGTAAGTAATGATGTAATGACGGTTCTTGGTAGAGTCACTGTCTAAATGATATTCTAACTACACAATGCTTACATCTCTTTATTCATTATAAAATAATAATTAGGCAATTAGCCAATTCATTGATAATACCAGGAACTTGTCAATTGGAACAAATTGCAGCATACAGGTATACATACATATTGATGTGCATTGTTTAAACTTGGAATATTTCAATGGAACATGTCCATGAACATTATTATTAAAAGAAGTACATGTACATGTACCTCTATATCAAGGAAACACAACAATCACTGAACTATTGTACATGTACATTGGTAATTGAAACTAACAATTCCCAGCAGGAGTATATCATTATTATTATTAATATACAGTACATGTACAGTGCAGGATGTTCCTTTACCTGTACACTAGTGAATAAGGAGCATAGTCTGAGCTGGTCTTATAGACAAGGTACGATCCTTCTCTTGTCTCTTTCTTCATTAGCTTCTCAGCATGAGAGAATGACTTGATACTCTTGTGTAGCCATCTTTGATCAGGCTAAAGGTAATAATAAATAATAATGATTGTTGTAGATATAAATTTTAATAGACCAATCTAACTAAATATGAGAGACTAAAAGTCTTCTAAACTCCCTCTAGATCTAACAGTGTCTTCAATAATGTCTTACTTTTGGAGGTGATTTCTTCAGTACTACATCAAACAGTTGGTTCTTGATAATGCAGTGTCTCTTAGCCTCTTCTATTAGTCCAGTGAGTGAGTCAAAGCAAGGTCCCTGGGGAGTGATGTAGTATAGTACTCCAGCAACAGTATCTGGTCTCGTCTCTATAACGACATGTTTAACCCGTCCTTCATGCCTGGAGAGAGAGAGAGAGTTTGCAATATTATATAATATTGTAATTGATATAAGGGCTTGTATTACTGGGTTTCATTACATCCCATATCAGTCTCTCCCTATCCCTCGCCTCCTTTTAAACTATAAACTGCCCTTTTAATGTATTGGCTTACATGAATGATATGGCGAACTTCCCAGTATAACTTTCGCTGATTCTTACTAAGAAGCTCCCGTCCCCACCTGCAAAATCTTGTAATATAACCTTAGCTTCTTTTCTACTGATACCGCCATGAAACCACCTGGAGAGGGAGGGAGAAAGAGAGAGAGGGAGAGAGAGAGAGGGGGGAGGGAGAGAGAGAGAGGGAGAGAGAGAGAGATATGGTAAGTGTTAATGGTCCGTAGTTTCTTAATGATATTCATTGGTCTATGAATAAACTTATCACTTACTTTTCCTTGTGATGGTGTAATTGTTTATCCTGAATCTAACGAGGAAAAGAGAAGGAAACAGAGAAAGAGGAGAGAGAAGGAAGAAGACTTATGACTATGATTATAATAATGTACTAATAATAATCTGCTGTAGGAAACAGACCTATCTAGTCATAATAATGCCTATTAATGATAATATGGGTTCTGATTCATGATGTAATGGGGGGATTTGCAATATAATAACTTAATTTGCAGTCTCTGGATTAAAGATATTATCAAGTTAGTGTTTAATTGTTTGGACTGTAGGCTCGTAATTTTGGACAGTGGGAGGAAATACGTGCAAATTTGGCATCTAGCTAGTTATTCGCTAAACTAAAACACGCTGTTTGAACCAAATTAAAACTTGCTAATCATCAACAATTCTGTCTAAATTTCACTTTCTCCAACTATACAGTGTATAGTTCTACTGATTGATTGGCATATCATGACATATAGACACTGTGAGGTGGTGATTGCTCATATGAAATAACTGGACATGATCACATTTACACTATTAAGGGTGACATCACCTCTCTCTCTCTCTCTCTCTCTCTCTCTCTCTCTCTCTCTCTCTCTCACCTCAATTCTGGTGTCTTCGTGTTCCTTTATGTAAAGATGAGGTGGTTGGAGCGATACAGTGCATTCGTGCCATTTCTATAAAATAAAAGGATAAAAAAAGAATCATTCACTAATAATGTATTAAATGATTGGTTTAGCTGCAGTGATTTTTATTTTCTGATAAAAGCAATTTAAAGTCAACAGGAATACTTTATCTTTACAATTGTACTGTTTGTTATTCTTTAATGTTTTTATACCTCAAAGTTGTCATTCCAAATGTACATCTGCTGCTGCTTCACTGGAAGACTCAGCTCTCCCTGCCCGGGAGCAGTAGGCGAACTCGGAAGAACTGGAGAAGTTTCTTGATCAGAATCGGTCGAGCTACTAGGAGTATCCCGTCCATTAGCTAGGCTGCTCTGAACCGCTTGCTGCTGCTGCTGTTGAATCAGTAGTATCTCATCCATTATCTGAGGCCGCTGCTGGTATTGTACTTGGTCAGTTGGTGGCCGCTGATGGAAGTCACAAATGACATTAGCTTTAGATGCTGTGGTCTGGTTTATATAATCCTGTACTGTAGTATCAGGAGTATATCAGTAGTAGTAGGGGTACCGCCTATACTCTCTGTGTTGTGTCTGGACCTATAGTTAATGTATCAAAACAATTTATTCCTAGAAAGTTCAGTCATTATTTTAATGAGTTGCGGTTGCAAGATTTGCAAATCGAGCCACGCCTAGTATTCAACGTCCGCCCACGCATTTCAGCTCCTCCCACACACACACCTCAGCAAAAGCAAAAATGGCTACTCCAAATACTAAAATTGTACTTTTATATTCTCTCTTTCTCCTTCTCTCTCTCGCTGCAGCTCAAGAGAGAGGTCCATGTGATCCCCTAGTCCCCCAGTACTGTATGCTACCCTTCCCTAACTCTTACTACACTAGACAATGGCCAGTCGGTGCTAATGGCACTCATACTGGACTAAAGGTTAACATACCTACCAGTGGAACACCAATGGATACTCTAGGGCGGTATATACACACTGAGCACTGGAACACGCTAGGTCAGTATAGGAGAGATGGTACTGGTACTAGTGTATTAATGGGGAGTGTGTTTGTGGTTGTAGTTTTGGGCAAATTGAAACTAAAACAATAATAATAATATCCCCAGTTTGTTTCTTTCTAAACACGACTAGGAGAGACTATTACACATTTCCTGATACATATACATGTACTTATGTTGTGTAGAAAGTTTGAGCTAATTTTGATCAAAATTAGATTTTTGCGGACTTGTAAAGTTTCTCAAAAATCCGACAAATGTCCCTGTACTATAGTACAGGGTCACAGGCCAAATTTTGCCAAAAATGAAAAGTAAAGAATTCTTCATTTTTATTACATTTCCTGATGCATATACATGTTCTTATGTTGTGTAGAAAGTTTGAGCAGATTCCGGTCAAAATTAGATTTTTTACAAATTCTTAAAGTTACTTCAAAATCGGACAAAAGTCCCTGTACCTATTCATTTTATCTTATTATTTTTCTATCACTTATTTCCGTTATTATTATCTCTTTTTTTAACCTACTATTTATCCCTGTGTTATATCTATTTTGTAAAAAAAAATGTTTATTTAAGGGCTCAGTTCCCTCCTACACTGTACTATAGTACATGGTCTTGGGCCAAATTTTGCCAAAAATGAAAAGTAAAGAATTCTCCATTTTTATTACATTTCCTGATACATATACATGTACTTATGTTGCGTAGAAAGTTTGGGCTAATTCCGATTAAAATTGGATATTTTATGAACTTTTAAAGTCAGCATTTCATGCATGCTCACCTACTCAATGACACACGACTAGTACAAAGTTCCCTATAAAGAAAAATCCATTATTATCTATTATTATTATTATTATTATTATTATTATTATTATTATTATTATTATTATTATTATTATTATTATTATTATTATTATTCAAAAACTTATTATTATTTTTGGTAATATATACATTTATTCTTGTACGCATACTCTTTCTTTTCTCTGTCTTGACTAATAGAGAGAGATAGAGAGTAGGACAGTGTTGGTGTGTGTGTGACTATCTGTGTGTTAACATTAGGAGAACAATGACTAACATATGCTGAGAATTACTGATAATGAAACTCATCCAATATTTGAAGGAGCAGCTGTCTGTCACCACTAGTCTGTTTCTAGCTAATGCATAAAATATGTAGCCTCTATATAATGGACACTTTGAAAGTGTCTCTGTTATACAGAGGTGTCCTTTATGTGGAGGTTATTTTATACAGTAAGGAATGTAATTGGTACACTAGGTGCTGTCCGTTAAATGGAGGTGTACGCTATAGAGAGTGTCCATTAAGAGAGGCTATAGAATATGATCCTAGAAAACATAGCATGAACAGATTCTATGAATCAGCTACAGTACAGTACATTAGTTTCAGCTACTACACAGACACAGACAGTGATAGCTAATGGTCCGTGACTAATAAAATAACTGGAAGAATGTGGGGACTTTTCTTTCTCCTTAATACAATCAAGTTTCAGTATACACTGATAAAGCATGGACTATAGTACAGGGTATTTTTCAGAAATTGGCTGATTGTTTAAAATGGTCATAATTTTAAATATTTAAGTCGGAATCAGCTCAAACTTTCTACACAGCATAAGTACTTCAATATGTATCAGAAAATGTAATAAAAATTTGAGGTGATTTCAGAGCCACTTTTTGTGATGCCTAGCAACACAACATAATTAGATTAAATCTCTTCCTCCATTAGATGGCTTCTCCCTATTCCCCTCCATCATTACTTACTTTCCTGATCTCTCCAGCTCTAACTTACCTCCACACTGGGACATACAGAGATCTCTATCACTGGACTCACCAACACTCATTTATAACATTAATAAAAGTATATGTTTAATAATAATAATATTGACAACAGTATATACATATACTCTATACTTATATATATTATTAATTAAAGTATATGCTGCAGTTAATAAAGTTATGTACATGTACTTATTATTAGTAATAAAGGTACATGTGTATATAATTATTAAGTGAATTTACTTAATAATTATATGCACATGTACCTTTATTACTAATAATAAGTACATGTACATAAAGTATGCACATCACGTTTATGATATAATTACCAATAAAGGTATGTGTACTACTTGTTCATGTACTATTATAGTAATTATTAGTTGAAGTGTGTAACTGTACTCTTTCTATTTATAATTGTTGTTTTTGTTGTTGTTTTAGAGGAACTGGTACCACATTTTGCTGAGTTGGACATTTCTGCTGAAG